TCCCATGGCTCAGGGCTTGGTGTGGGAGGAATAGCCGAACGGCTAGCTGATGTCAGCCCCCTCACCAGCCGCAAAGAAGTCGAAGACTTCTGGTCTACTAGACTGAGTGTCCTACGACACGTTCGCGATGCGATGGCTGAAAGTCAAGACCTACAGAAACAACATACAGATGGAAAAGGAAGAGGCAAAGTAGAAAGCTTTACGATCAGAGACCTGGTTTTACTAAAATCTAAGAACATTCCTACACATGCGGCCTCTGGTATCTTCAGGACGAAGCTTCGTCCACGGTTTATCGGACCGTTTAAGATTGTGGCCAAGCGGGGTCTAGCATATACGCTAAACCTTCCAAAACGGATGCGTACCCACCCGGTGTTTTACGTGGGTTTGCTCAAGCCGTACCGGGATCCGGCGCAAGTGAACGCGGAAGTGTTGGCGCCGGAGCGGATCCCACGGGCCCTCCGCCACCCAGAAGCTGAACCAGCAACTGGTTCTGAGCACGGAGGTCAACAACCTCCATTTCAAATGGCGCCTAGCGCTTCACCGTCGCATGCAGCGACGCATTAGCCTGCTCCGCGGCTAGGAGTCGCTCAAAGCGCTGTAGTCCTCAAGGTGAGGCAGCCGGCGCACGACGTGCTCTAAATCCTTAAGAGCGTCAGCACAGCGATATGCTACTTCAGTATGACGCTCAGCGAAGCTCTGATCACGAAGCACCTCGTCCTCAAGGGCTCGAGTCACCGGATGGCGGTCGACCCGGTTGTCACCGCCCGCCACCGAATCTTCTCGATGTAAACGGTGACGTCCACTATCACGTGGAACGTCTAGTGAGACGACGTCGTCACCAGGGTCAGATCCAATATCTGGTGAAGTGGAGGGATATCCCGACTCCGAAAACTCGTGAGAGTTTGAGAGGCCACTTCGGCAAGATTGCCCAGACGCCGTAGACGCTTTTGATCCGAAAGATCAGGACGCCTCGGTCTTCCCGGTAATAGCCAGGAAAGTAGAAGGGCCG